AAATAAATTGTTATATAGTAATATTTAAAATTTCAATAATGTGATCAGCATAAGCAGTATTTCAAAACACTTTAAGGTATGTATTTAAAATAAAAATAAAATCATACGCTGTTTTTATGATAACAAAGTCATACCAAAACCAAATACACTATCTATAAGTAAATTTCAACTGACTTCATACAGGATAGAACAGAAAGACTTCAAAGGGATTTCAAGGCTACAAATCTTTGTAGAAGGAAACTGCAACATCCTTCTTGTGCAGTGTGGGTGACAACCCGCTTTAACCACTGTGTTACTAGGGAGTCTTAAAAAAAATCATAGGAACTGCTGTATTACTATGGTATGCTGTCTATATTCATAATGAAAACAAATGCTTCGCTTACATGGAAATTAATATAAAGGTGTTTTTTTTTCCTTCTCATGTTCACAGCCAGTGCCAAACAATCACCACCACCTTATCTAGCTTAAAGTTCAGGCAACAAGATAGAAAATGAAAGAGATATTTAAAAAGTATATATTTAAAATAAATAAACATCCTGTACTAGTAAAAACTATATCAGGCAAACAAAATACTCCTAACTTAAATTGGATTGGCTCTAGAAAACAAAGAGGAAATACCCCTATATCAACTGTTATTTAACAGTTTCCTTTACTTTGCTAAAAAGAGTATAAACAAACAATGGCAATACCGCCAAAGTATGATTCATTTTCAAGATGAATCCCTCCCCGTTTAAAGGTTTACATTGTTTTTGACCAGCATCAGACTGTTTACCCACACAAACTGTAAATATATCATTTTTAGAACTAACCAACAACAATTCTCATTTTGTTTTGACATGAAAGGTACAAGATGAACAGGAAGAAAAATTACCATCACTCTAATGTGTGTACTTAAAAAATAAGGAAAAACTACAAAGAGTTTTGAGATAACAAAATTTTAACATATATTGAAGGAAATTTTATAGTTAAGTACTGAAAAATCATCAAAATGTCTTGAATATCCTACATGAGATTTCTTCTGCTGGCTTTCTGCAAAAATATGAAGAATGAAATGCCAGATCAACTTATTGATATTATTCAGCAACTATAATAATGTACCACAGAAATACACTATGTTAAAAGGAGAAATAATGCACAGAGCAGGGAAAGAATACTGGAAATCTCGGAAATTCTTCTGCAATATTTCTGTCAATGTAAAACTTAAAAAAATTAAGTCTACTGAAGAAAGTTTTTTTTAAAGTGCCATCTATTTCAACTCTGAACCCCGTGTTGTTATCAGCTGGGGGTCAAACAGGTTCCACCTCATGAAGACTCTACATGTACAGCGTAGAATTTGTCCAGAGGATTTTCCTGGGTGAGTTCAAGCCTCCAACCTTGTGGTTAGTAGTCAAGTACTCTATCATTTACACCATCCAGCGACCCTTTATCTACCAATGACAAAATTCTTCGTTGACTGGCACTTTGCACATTTTGGCAAAAATATATTTAAAAGTTGTGAACAATCAGTTCATGTTTTTGATCTTTAAGTAGAAGATTCATGAGGGTATGAATGACCTTAATTTTGTGCCCAAGGATAGCATAATACCTAGTACGTAATTTGCTTAATAGAACAGAAAGAACAAAAATGAAAAAAGAGGTCAAAAGAACATTTCATGAAGATACATAAACAAAAGGAATATATCCTTCTTAATTTTTCAAGTAATATATTTAGAGGTTGTCTTGCTGACCTAGCAGGCCCACATGTACACTGAGCCTTTCTATATACAGTCTTTGATTAAATTAAAAAAAATATTCAGAACAAGGGAAAAAATTCTCCAAGAACTTATTCCAAATACCTAAATAATGAATAGGATAACTTATACCAGTACATAGAAATAGCTATGTCTTTTAAAAACTAGTTCTTTTTGAGGTCAAATTTCTTGCAAATGGCTAAAAATATTTAAAATTCATAGCTTTCTAAGACTTAGGATTTTTAAAATGAAAAATTATTTCTAAAGACTGAGTTTTAAAAGTTTTCAAACTTGAAGCTCATGAGTCAATGTTTTTCTTATAAGAATATTAGGACCAAATAATGCAGTATTTCAGAAGATGTCAGGGATTCAGAGTTGCTTTCTTTTTTCAATTACATGGATCGCACATTGCAACAGGTCCAAAGCCATATCAGAAGAAGCTTCAGAATTCTTGCCTCCAAAGAACAGCCTGGCTTCACCCTCTCCAGGACGAACTTGTTTGCTTTCCTAGCAGTCCATGGTATATTCAATACTCTTCTCCAGCACCCAGCTCAAAGGCATCAATTCTCCTTCTATCATTCCTACTTATAGTCCAGCTCTCTGATGCATAGCAAGTAATTGCAAAGCCAGGGCCTGGATCAAATGCACCTTAGTCTCAGACTGACACTGCTGCTCTTCAGTACTTTGGAGAGATCTCTGACAGCAGACTTTCCCAGTGCAATTCATCTCCTAATTTCCTGGCTGCTGGTTCCAAAAGCGTTGATTGCACAGCCAAGCAAACAGAAGCTACTGACAATCTCAGTCTCTTCACCATCCATCATGATGCTGCCAATTGGCCCAATGATGAGAATCTTCGTTTTCATGATGTTGAACTTCATACTGAAGGCTACAATCCTTGACCCTCTGCAGCAAGCACTTCCAGTCCTCCTCAGTTTCATCAAGCAGGATTGTGTCATCTGCATAACGCAGATTGTTGATGAGTCTACCTCCAATCCTGATGCTACACTTCTCCTCATAAAGCCCAGCCTCACGGATAATCTGTTCAGCATATAGAATGAAAAGATGGAGAAAGGACACATTCTAGGTGCACATTCTTCCCAATTTTGAACCATGCTGTATTTCCTTGCTCTGTTCTGACGACTGCCTACTGGTCCAAGTATAGGTTTCACATAAGCACAATCAAATGTTCTGGGATTGCCATTTTTCTCAGTGTCAGCCACAGTTTATTGTGATCTATACAGTTAAATGCCTTTACATAGTCAATGAAACATAGACATTCCTCTGGGACTCTCTGCTTTCAGCCAAGATCCATCTGACATTAGCTATAATATCCCTAGTACCACAACCTGTTCTACATCCAGCCTGAACTTTAGGCAGTTCTCTGCTGATGTGCTGTTCCAGTTGTTTTTGGATAATCTTCAGCAGAATCTTGCTTGCATGTGATATCAATGATACTGTTTGATAATTTCCACAGTCTGTCTGATCACACTTCTTTGTAATGGGAACAAATATAGATCTTTTCTAGTCAGTTGGCCAGATGGTTGTCCTCCAGATTTCTTGGTACAACTTGATGAGTACATCCAGGGCAGCATCAGTTGGATGAAATATGTCAATTGGTATGCCATCAATTCCTGGGACCTTGTTTTTTGCCAATTCTTTCAGAGCAGCTTGAAATTTTTCCTTCATCACCACAGGCTCTTGCTCATACGTTGTTTCATGAAATTCTTCTGTGTCCACCAATTCCTTTGGTACAATGACTCTGTACACTCTTTCCATCTTCTTTTAATGCTTCCTGGATCATTCAATATTCTGCCCAAAGCATCCTTAAGTACTGCAACTCAAGGTCTGAATTTGTTCTTCCATTCCTTCAGCTTAATAAATGCTGAGTGAATTCGGCCCTTTTGATTTTCTGACTCCAGTTCCTTGTACATTTCATTGTAATACTTTACTTTGTCTTCCTGTGCTGGCCTTTGAAATCTTCTGTTCAACTTCTTAATATCTTGGTTTCTTCCCTTCACTTTGGCTTCTCAGTGCTCTAGTGCAATATTCAGTTTCTTCTGACATCCATCTTGGTCTTTTCTTTTGCATTCTTCATGGATGATATTCTTGATATCCTCCCACAGCTCATCTAGTCTTCATTCATTAATGTCCGAGGCCTCAAACTTGTTCCTGAGATGGTTTTGAAATTCAGGTGGGATAAACTCAAGGCCAAATTCTGGTTCCTGTAGACTTCGTTTTCCTCAGCTTCAGCTTGAACTTGCATATGAGTAGTTGGTGGTCTGTTCCACAATCAGCACCTGGCCTAGTATGTACAGGTGATATTGAGCTTCCCCAAGGTTTCTTTCCACAAGTGTAATTGATCTGATTTTCATGCATACCATCAGGTGAAATTCAAATATAAAGCCTGCATTTATGTTCCTTACAAAATGTATCCCAGAGGTACATGGTTCAAATCCATCATGTCAGAGCTGATTTGACAGTACACATACAAAAAATAATAAAATAAAAATTTTAAAAAAGTATTTGCAATGAATAAGTCATTGGTTCAACCAAATTCTATCATTCTATCTCCTGCTTCATTTCTGTTACAAAGTCCCTGTTTTCTAACTACTGATCTTTCTTCTCTATTTCCCAATTCTGCATTCCAGTAGTAAACTACAGACATTTTTTCCCTGAAATATGAGAATTTTGTTACAGTTGTTGTTACTTGCCTTCAAGTCTCTAACAGACTGCCAGGCTTGACTTCCACATCTTTTAGTGAATTCAACAATCAACATTTGATCTAGCAGCTGAATGGTTAATAATTTTAATCAGTCAGCAAGAAGTATTTTTAAATAAAATAAAATGCTGCCCTATCTAAAATATACATCAACCCTCTCTAACAATGATAATTTCTTAATGAACTATATATATTTCTATATGTATCTATATATATATATATAGATAGATATATCTAGAGATATATATATGACGATATATATGTATCTGAGAGTTAAAGACAGTGTTTCAGAAGAGTTAAATGAAATAAATCAAACTTTTTATTTAAAAAATAACTTGATATCTCTTCTATTTAAAAAGTTAGGGAGTTTAAAGGACATTTTACAAATTAACTTTCTACACTTGTGTCAATTTGTTAAATTATTTTGTAAATTTAAAATAGTAAAATGAGCCTAAGATCTATGTAGGTATGAACAGATTAAAATAAATTTTTTTTATGTCAAATCTATTAGTTAAGGTCAGAGGAAAAGATGACAGAGAGGTGAAGTTTACCATGTAAAGGTGAACCCGACGGACTACTTGACAGGCCTGGCACAGGACTACAACGACCTCCTTGCTTGGATGTCAGTTCTTGTTCAATCTCTTCCAGCCCAGCACTTTTCTGGAAACGACTCATACGATTCACTACTCGTGGCGACATATGTGTACGAACACAAGGCTGGCCACCATAAGGATTGATAGGGAAAACATGAGAAGTCCCCCGCAGTGTACTGACCACAACCCAGCGACAGTCATGACTGAAGCAAATGTCCTGTACCTAGAATGATACAAAGATACAAAAATGGATTATATTAGATGCATCTGTCTAAGAAAATCATGTATCATTAAACAGAAATAGTCTCATTTGCAACTTTATCTGAAGTCTACTTTATATAAAAGAAATTTTATTCTATACTTGTTTCACATTAAATGAAAATTCTGATAGTTAATCAACCTAGACTTTGATTGTCACTGTTTGGACAGACCATAAGCAGTCAATTAGATGAAAGGGGTGTTTACTTGTGGGTGTGTTCAGCATCTGGTATATAAGTAGATAATCTGGTAGAGGTTCTCCTTCTTGACTGCATTCCTCTTATTGCCTGACCTCTAGTTCTTGGGACATAAGCCTGCAGAAGTCTTTGGCTTATTACCTCTGTAGTTTATATGGAGATTCACTATGGTGGCACACTGGTTCAAATGTTCAACTGTTAACCAAATAGTGGCAGTTACTGTTGTGCACCATCAAGCAGGAATCAACTCACAGCTGATCCTTCATCAGATTTTCAGAAGCAATTAATTGGAAGAAACTGCACATCTTACTTCCATGGAGCAGCTCATGTATCTCTGGGACAGCAGGACAGCTCTTTACCAGTATGTAATTACCGTTCACTAACAAAAAGACAGGCAGTTTGAACTCACCTGCCATTCTGCAGGAGAAAGATGCCGCCACCAAGATTTCAACTGTATGAGACAATTCTACTTGGTCTTATAGAGTTGCTATGAATCAGAACTGGCTTAATGACAATTTGCAATAACAATCTTGCCTTTCAAGGTGAAGAAAGAAATGGTATAAATCTCACTTTTCATGTGAGAAAAAAATTATGCTGAAGAATATGGTTAACATAATTAGTGGCTGTAGTAAACTGTATGAATAAAAACTGTTGGAATGTCAAATGTTTTTATACATATATTTACCACAATTTAAAAATGCTAACAAGTTAAAAAAAGAAATAAAGTAGGAGAAAGAAAAGGGCAAAGAACAAAAGAATAAAAATACAAGATAAGAATTTTAATCCATTATAAAATACATTCATACATACCAGAATCAAATAAAGAAAGGAAACCATCTTTAGGCTCAATGAGTAATTTATGTTCCATTTAAATTAGGACTAAACCATGTTATCAAAAACCTCTGGCCAATATAAGACTATTGTCTAATCTGTAAATGAAAAGAAATCTTTTCCTTTCATGTTTAGAATATGTCTAACATGAGGTAATGTTAACAATACTATCAAGGCAGGAGGAAAGAATGCCATTTAACAGCTTACTAAGAAAACTACTGTTAGAGAAGTGATTCTGCTCTCTGACCTTAAAGGTCTATCAGCACACACAGTGGGCAGAGGCTGCTCACTGAAGAAGGGAACTAAAGAAAAGTCTAATCTTTTCAGTGACATTGCCACAAAATTAAAAATGATAGAAGGGTTGGAATATCAAACTGACTGGATAATAAACATTATAAAAAAACAAAACAGACTTCACAATGGCAAACTAGTAATAAGGTGATGACATCAACTGCATGATTTTAGACCTCAATTTTGAAAAGATAACATTTTCTAGTAAATATGTTCTCAACATAAAACAAGAAAATTAGATGATGGAAGTTTCACCTCTGATTTCATTCTCAGTTCTAAATATGATGAGAAATAGTATTCACCATGTTCATTATGTTATTATATACAGGAAGTTAAACAAGTGCACATATGTCCTGTTATTCAAACTTTTGCTCTCAGGTTTAAGGAGCAAACATCTTTTTAAATCTTTACTATCCACTAGTCCAATATAGATTGAGGCTCAATGTCAAGAAGACAAAGATTCTCACCACTGGACCAACTGGCAGCATCAGGATGGATGGTGAAGAGATTGAGATTGTACACAGCTTTAGTTTGCTTGGCTCCACAGTCAACACTCTTGGCACCAGTAGCCAGGAAATTAAAAGGTGCATTGCCATGGGAAAGTCTGTTGTTAGGGACCTCTCCAAAGTACTGAAGTGCAATGGTGTCTCTCTGGAGACTAAGGTGCGTCTGATACAGGCCATGGTCTTCACAATCACTTGTTATACATCAGAGAGTTGGACAATGACCAAAGAGGATAGAAGGAGAATTGATGCCTTTGAGCTGTGGTGCTGGAGAAGAGTATTGAGAATACCATGGACTGCTAAGAAAACAGATACATCCTGGAAGGGGTTAAACCGGGTGGCTCCTTAAAGGCAAGGATTCAGAGGCTCCGTCTAACATACTCAGGACATGTTGTGAGGAGAGACCGGTCCTTGGAGAAGGACATCATGGAAGGGTGGAGCGCAGGGGGGGAAGGCCCTCTAGGAGGTGGATTGATTCAGTGACTGGGATAATCAGGATGGGAGTGTCAGAGACAGTGCGATGGCACAGGACAGAGCAGAGTTTAGGGCTGTTGTACATAGGGTCGCTATGAGTCACGAGCGACTCAACGGCATATAACAACAATAAAGGTAAGTACTTCAGGCTCTGCAGGTGAAGAAGCAATATCAAGAACACCATGTAGTTAGTTAACAAAAAAAGAAGACAACTTTCCACAGTATTTCACAATGACTGGAAGTACAATAATATTGAGTATATATATCATGTATCTTTAGTACCACTATCCAGAGACAACAATTTCTTAACATCTGGAGAGGAAAAATCCTCCTACATGTTTCTATGCATACACACACATACACACACCACACACACACCCCTCACTCTCTGCCCTTAAGGTGGAAGCAACTCACAGCAACTCACATCCATCATTTTTCTGCACCACTGGATAGTGAGCTAAAACCCCCTAGACAGGCACAGCCTCTGCTATTATTCGTAGGTGCTGTCGATTCCAGTACAGTGATCCTACAAATAACAGATCTGAACCCCGTCATATCCTGTGCCATCCTTATTATCTCTGACATACAGTCCATTGCCTGTAGTCACTGTGTCAATCCGAGGGTCCTGATGTCTTTTGCTGACTCCACCTTTCCAAGCTTGATGTCCTTCTCCAAGGAATAGCTTCTCCTAGTGTTGTTGATTGCCTTAGAGTCAAGCATGACTCATAGCGACCCTGTGAACAAAAAGCCTGAAGCTATTCTACATCTATCAACATTTATCAAAGTTCATAGAGTCTCTAGAGGTATGTTATTTAGGAAGTAGAGGTCACTCCTGCTTCCAAACATGGCACAATATGGTACTATGTCATTGAGTCACCTGTGATGTATAGCAATCCTAAATACAGCAGCTCTGAACCCTTCCCTGTCCTGAGCCAGTCTCACTAATTCCAACACACCAATACCCATTGTCCCATTTTCTGTATCAATCCATCACATGCATCCAGGGTCCCCCTCTCCTGTGCTGTCTGTCCACCCTTCCAAGCATGATGTCCTTCTCCAAGGACCAATCTCTCCTGACCACATGCCCAAAATAAGTGAGCCTGAGCTTCAAAATCCTGGCCTCCAAGGAGAGACCTGGTTTCACCGTCTCCATGACATATCTGTTTCCCTGGCAGTCCATGGTATGTTCAAGACTTTTCTCCAGCACCACAACTGAAAGCAATCTATTCTTTTGTCATCCGTAGTCATTGTCCAACTCTCTGGAGGATAGCAAGTAATTGAGAAAACCATGGCCTGGATTAGGCACACCTCTGTGTCTAGACTGACATTGCTGCTCTTTAGCACTCTGGAGAGGTCCATGACAGTGGATTTTCCCAATGCAATTCGTCTTTTCATTTCCTGACTGCTGGTGTTAATTGAGAGTGTTGACTGTTGATCCAAGCAAGCTGTAATTGCTAACAACCTCAATCTCTTCTCCATCTAATATGGTGCTGCCATTTAGCCCAGTGGTGAGAATCTTTGCTTTCTTGATGTTTAGCTTCAAACCATATTGAAGACTACAGTTCTTGACCTTTTGCAGCAAGTGCTTAAGATCTTCTTCAGTTTCAGCAAGCAAGGTTGTGTCATCTGCATATCGTAGATTGTTAAATGCATCTTCCTCCAATCTTGATGCCACACTCCTCCTCATGAAGCTCTGCTTCCCAAATGATCTGTTCTGCATACAGATTGAAAAGGTATGGGGACAGGATGCATCCCTGATGCACTCCTTTCTTGATTTTGAACCAAGCAGTGTTTCTTTGCTCTGTTCTGAGGACTGTTTCTTGGTCCAAGTATAGGTTTCCTTATAAGCACGATCAAGTGTTCTGAGATTCCCATTTTCCTCAAGGTTAGCCACAATTTAGCACACTTAAGAGTAGATTCTCCTAGTAATATGACAAAATATGTGAGATGAAGCTTTATCATCTTTTTCTCCAAGGAGCATTCTGGCTGTACTTTTTCCAGACATATATTTGTTTGTTCGCTTGGCATTCCATGTGCCTTCAGATTGGCAATGCAGCTCCTTACCAGCAGGCCACAAGAGTCTCACACACATACCCCACAAAGAGCTTGAATCAGAAAATAAAATGGGAAGAACTCGCTCAGCATTTCTCAAGGTAAATGAACTGAAAAACAAATTCAAGCTTCTACTTGAAATACTGAGATATGTTATGAGCAAAATCTTAAATGATTCAGGAAGCATTACAAGAAGGCAGGAAAAATATACCGAATCACTGTATCCAAAAAAATTGGGGTTTTTTTAAGAAGTATCATATAAACAAGTTTTTCTAGGAAGTATCATATGAACAAGCATCTATGGTAGGTAATGAAGGATGAAGTTCAAGTGGCTCTAAAGGCACTGACAAAAAATAAAGCCTCAGGAATCAATGAAATATCAACTGACATGTTTCAACCAACAGATGCAGCCCTGGACGTGCTCCAGGACCTCTCCAGAGTACTAAAGAGCAATGGTGTCACTCTGGAGACTAAGGTACGCCTGATGCAGGTCACGGTCTTTGCAATCAGAGAGCTGGACGATGACTAGGGATGATAGAAGAATTGATGCCTTTCAGCGGTGATGCTGGAGAAGAGTATTGAATATACCATGGACAATAGGTTCATCCTGGAGAGGG